TACGATCTCCCTTAGATGCCTGCCTAAGCCACATCACAGTCAATCCGTAACAGTAGGTAAGATTTAAGCCTCGTGCGCTGGATTTTCTTTTGCATTGCTACTTTGTTTTGTACCCTTTTTAAGGTTTGTGATGGTAAAACATGAAGTAATATAAATTGGGTGTCGTCACGAAGTCGGTGAATAAAGTCACTTAACTGGTATCTCGAAATACATATATCCCTGTCTCTTACTTTCCTCGCTCTATCCTCTTTCTTCCCCTACTCAAAGCGCCTCGCTAATGAGCTAAGTCAGAGCCCTGTCAGAGTCCTAACGACAGCCTAAACACTGCAATTACATAGAGCAAATCATACCGCCCAAATTTGATCCTTTCACCAACAGTTCGGGAGTATGATCACTGGTATTTATTTGAAATGTTTGAACGATTTAAAACTTGATTTTACTGATAACTTCGGATGCATTTTAGATAGCTTTTACATATCTTCGTAGGCAAAAGACCATCGAGCAAATATAGATTTTATTTTGATTCCATTTCGTGTTTTTGAAGATTGAGACTATTCAAATCTAGAGTTCGAAAAATTCTGGTTTCTTATCATAGATCATTTATGCAAAGAACGGCTGTGTGATCCGCGCAGAATATTTTCTGCCGAATCTGATAAAGAAGTGTCCCGTGTAGTTGGTTATCAAATGTTTCCCTTAGATCAATGGATTTCGAAAAAATAAAATCGCATGCTCAAACCAACATCATGACTTTTTGCGTTCAATCTCAAGTATAAAAAATCGTAAGTAATAATAACTCACGAATATTGGAATTAATGAGAATATTGTCGATTGGCCTTAATATACGTCTACGTAAGGTTAGCTCAATGTAAAACGAAAGGTACGAAAGTGAGGTATGTATGCTTGTTCATGTCTTCTCTTTAAGAACTTTGCGAACGTTCGTAGTATTGGCTGAGTCATCAAGACAATGACTCAGCAACTGAGTGATTCACTACGCTTAGTGCAAAGCAAATTGAACTATTCTCCGATAAATTTGCCATGATTCAAAATATTAGTATACTTCAAAGCCTTTAATACTGCTGTCGCACAAGTAGCAATAAGGAGACATCTCAGAGCAGAATCTAGATCAGCATGTGCTGTGAGTAGACTATCTGTAATCGACTTTGAACTTGATCGTCGACTTTGTTTATTGGTCTGTTATCACAGACACGGAAATAGATTCATGAGATTGCTCTATGAGAGGCTAGGATTAGTTCCGATATAATTTGGTTGAAGATTTGTCCTCAAATTCAGAGGCTACTATGTCTTTATATATCTACGTACTTACCCCCATATTCACCATATCTGCTAGCTATTCTATATCTAGCGTGCATAGCCTGATTTATCTCATGGTTCTGGGATGGAGATGTAGTTTCCGAATAGCAATATTCTTTTAGCTACTACAATACGTAGCAGCTTCAGATATAGTTTACCGTGCGATACTTCCACCTTAGCTACATGCCTCCTTGATATACTGCCGGCTCGGTAATCAGTGAGATAACCGAAGCTAAACCTTAACAATAACCTTAATTACGAAACCATGAATACCTAAGACAGAAGCCTGCATTCTAACACAATTAGGTTAGGAATTGCCAACTACAACCTAATCCAAACAATCTGAGCCAAGAACAGTGGAGTATCGATAGAATCTTCTCGATATTTTTATTATTGTCGGTTGGTAATGTACACTTGTACGCGTACGCAATGTGTCTCTCGATGGTGTGTTCATTCTTGTTCTTCTTAGATACAGGATTTCACGGGTAAACGCTGAGCTGAATGGCTATTCATCAAGGGGAATATATCAATTATCTTTCAAGTAACAAAACAGGGTAGGAGCACTGTACAAGGTGTGGCCTGGGGTCAGAGAGGAGCCCAATGTGCTAGATAGTCATAGAATCAAGTAGTACAATAAAAACACACACATTCTTAGATACAGACGTGTCGTCCTTAAGGCTGACACGCCAAGCTGCACCAATCCCCGTGACTAACTAACTACAGTTAGACCCCTGTTAAGACGATCCTGGTTAAGAGGATATTTTTTCCGAAACGGCCTTCGTTCCCATACATTTACCGATTTCACGATTATCGTTCTTCAACCTCTGAATATCGTCTTAACCAGGGTTTTTTTGCTAGATTGGTGCTAACAATGCCACCAATAAAGGGAATTTCTGTGGAGCAACGGCGTGCTCTGCGACAATGGGCGCACCGCCAGGTCCCAAAACCAACACAAAAACAGTGTATTGAGTGGTTCGTAGCTGAGTACAGCCATCGATTAAGCCAGTCCACAGTCTCCGAGTCCTTGAGTAAGACCTTTGCGAAACTCGACGAAGCTCCAAGTACTACTGCGCTACGACAGCGAGCTTGAAACTGGCCTGACCTTGAGAGTATTAAAGCCATTAAAGAGGGCAAATGGGAGTATTAAAGAGGCATCAAAAGTACAAAGTAGCCTAGATAGCTGGATTAGATAATGATTACCTTTTAAACGATATCCTCTATATGAGGATATTTGTCACGGCCCTATTACGTCATATTAACAGGAGTTTGACTCTATCAACATATTGTGATATCTCTCCTGGCCCATGTACATCTCAAAATAGTGTTGCGACAATTACCTTGTAATTTGATTTTGATTTCATTTAACCCGATCAGGCACCCTATGGGTTATGCAGGTGACTATCTTCATTATTTACAACCGGCAAAGACGAATTGTTCACCATCCAGTGGTGCCGGTGTAATCGCTCAGTATGCTCTGCATGTCTGGGATATCAAAGGAAAATTGCGTCCGAATCGAAGTCAATGGCCACCTCAAGCACATCTCCATTTGACGACTTCTCAATAGGGCCACTCTAATCATTCCTATCTGAGTCCTTAACCCCCTTCTAAACACGCATCATCTCGCCTCAGCGACCAATAAAGATGTTGCTCCAATTGCAAACAGGAGCTTGCCTCATTTATCACCGGCCATCACTCACTATAAATTTACGACGCTACGTACACCCGCAAAGAGGAAATTAAGTCATAATATACAAAGTTGGGGTCTTGGTTTATGGGGGACTGTTGCCCTAAAGGGACAAGTAGCTTGTGGAAGAAAAGGTGGCTAAGATGTGGAGCGAGGGGGGGGAACAGGTCTCTGAAAACCACGCTGGGACAGACATTTAGGAGGGGTTTTCAACTTTGGAACTTTTGTGGCCGCCAAGACTAAGATTTCGGCTAATTAGCTTGGAGGGTTTCTATTGTCGATGAGTCAACGGCACTCCCCAGCGCCCTAGACGACACAAAAGAAGTTGGGCTAAGCTACCACACAGTAATCACGCTCTGTCAAGACTTTTCTGACATTTGAGGACGACCTTCGGGAAGGAGTTAGAAGGAGGCTAGAAAGGCAGAGGATGAATTTCCCGAGGTACACACAAGTCTGCAGCGCCCAGCTGGCCGGCCTCTTCGAACGCTTCAGAAGGGTCACTATGTCTTCGGATTTAGTCCTAATGTCGGTATTAGAAGAGCTCCGCACCCAGTGGTTTATGCGATTTTTTCCGGCTATCATACACCCGCAAATGGCCATCGTTTCGTTGGCTAGAGAGGGACGATAATGAAGGGTTAAGTGATCCTCTAAGTGTATGATCAAATGAGGACTTGTGAGGGGTGGTACTGTTTTAGGGGAGCTGTATGAGAGGCATAGGAGGGGATATACTACTGGTATAGGAATCCTTAGCCTGTAGGTAGAGAGGACCTGCATGTCCTACATAGTCATAGACTCAGACAGGACAATAAAATGAATTAATAAATTCATTATTTACAGAGGAAACCAATTTGGTGAAGACCCCCTGAGCCTGTCAGTTTATATTCCTATCAATTTATTTAGTTAACCTTCAGGAAGTGCAGTGTACATTGTTCAGCCAGTGTGGATTCCGTCCTCTCCCCTTCCAGATCGTTTTATTATATCCGAAATTGCTACCTCGACTGCCCCTGCAAGTCGAAACTGTTTTATCCACTCTTTGCTCAGTATTCACTGTGTGATTCTAACCACATCTTCTGGGCTATTCATCATGGCTTCAAATGACCTGTCTTTAGCTCGTCGGAGAAAGTCGCATCTGAAATTTGCCCACTGCGGACACGCCAACACCATGTGCTTGACGTTTTGCGACGGATATCCACGTTGATAGCTTGGTTTTTCTACTCCGGGTAATTTTCTTCTGCACTAATGAGAATTGAGTCCGATATCCTCGCTTCTTAGCTGAGTGGCGACACTGCTTTGGGCCCTGGTCAGGTTACGGTGTATTCTTAAGGGTGTATCTTTGAAGTCCATTTTGGTGCTGCCTGTTTGTTCATCAGTAAATATATTTGCCGCTTTCCAATATTCTGGATCGGCTGATTCTGGTCGGCTAGGGCACTGTTTCCTGATCTGGTTTGTCCATGAATCCTTCCACTCCTGACAGGCCGCTATCTTTCCAGCTTCTTTCTGGCTTCCCTTGTCCTTTTTCCTTTGGCAAGTTCTTGTCCACTCGGCGATATCTTTACTCTTGTTCAACGCATGCGGGGTTTCTCTCCCGTTTGCGGGCAGCTTTATCCTCTTACATGTCGATCGGATTGTCTCTTGAACTGGAAGTTTAGCTGATAGTCCGGCGTGCTGGACCCTCCTTTGTTTTAGGTATATTTCTATAGGGAGGTCGGAAGATTCGTGGTCTAGCACTCTGCTGCTAGTAGAAGGGTAAGCAACTGCAACAAGCTTTAAGCATTTTCTTTGAATTCTTCTGAGGGGTGTCATTATCCTTTCAGGTATCTTTCCTGTTGGCCCGGCCTCGGCCCATATCGAGGACCCATACGTAAGGGCCGGTCTCACTATAATTATCTTGTAATTATTTATCACATGTACTCGGCACCCATATTAATTATCGAAAAGTTGGGAGTGGCCGTATTGCGAGGAATTAAAGTTAGAAGATGGGGTATCATACTATTTATTGGCAATTCTATAATAATTTGCTATTCTCCTCGTCTTTATCGACTCGATTTAAGACCGCAACGCCTTCAACATGACTCGTTTGTGGAAAGAAGTCAAATCCCACTAAACTCTCAATATCGTACTTTTTACTTTCTATTTCTTCTCCTGAATTTTTTTCTAACCCAGCCACAATAATTCCCACATCTCTGGCTTGTGTATGAACGTTACAGCTAACGTACACAATTCTTCTCGGAAAAAATTTCAATAGTTGGCTTAAGAACGCTTCATCGCAACCTTTCCGCGAAGGATCAATGAGTACGACTGTTTCATCTGGGTCGTATGTTATCTCTTTGAAAAGCGTTGCTGCATCAGCTGCCATAAAATTTGCTTGAGATGTTGGAAGATTGTTCTGACGAGCGTTGTCGGTTGCAGAGGATATGGAAGCGGCCGAGACATCGATACCTATTGAGCTTTCAAAAAGTGACGAAAGAGTTATCGTAAATAGGCCAGACCCGGAGTAGGCGTCAATTAAATTCTTTATTTTTACCTGATTTGAGGGAGGAGGCATGATATGGTCTCGAATGTACTGTGTAAAAGGTGATAATATGGAGTTGTTATTTTGAAAAAACTCATTGGCTATATTAGTAAAAATAAAGTTGTCAACATATTCCGTTGTCATGGCTCTATTTTCTGTTACACAAGATTTGAAGTCGATATGGTTAGACTCAATTGTCTTTATAGTATCTGGTAGGGTTTTCGAAATGTTTGTCTCATTTTTTGGGAGTCGGAGCGTGCTTTCCCTGAGGAGTATTGTCGCACCTTTAGTATATTTCTCAAGCTCACTGGCAACTCGCAGCCTTTCTCTTTTCATGCCCATTCTTACTGCATCTGTACCAATTGGACAGTCTTCGATGTCGAGCGTGTAGCTTGCGCCTTTGGCGTTGAACCCAATTTTGGGTACTCCCTTAAAATGATTTTTAACACCCCTCAGTTTGTCGGCCTTGCTGATATAACCTTTGGGTGCATCGAAGTGTGGAGTAAGCTTTGTACGATATCCATACTGTAAGGGACTGCCAATTGTCATATCAACTGGTGGTATCATTTCTTTTGGAAGTTGTGAGAAATTCATGTATGCTTTCTCGACGATTGTTTTCTTATGCCGAAGTTGGTCTTCATAGTCTAGCATCTGAAATTGGCAGCCAGAGCAAGTACTGAAGTATTTGCATTGAACGCGACTATCATCTCGCAGTGGACCTGCCTTGACTACGGATATAAAGTCTGCTGTCGAGTATTCTTCTTCATTAAAGTGCTTAATCACCTTCGCTCTAATTAAATCGCCAGGCACTGAGAACGGGACTACATATATTCGTTTAGACTCAGGGTGTATGGCGAGACCGTCTCCAGTTGACGAAATCTCTTTGACCTCGACGTCAATTTCAGTGAAAGGTTTTGGTAGGCTCGATTGAGGCGACAGAGAGGCCTCCGTGTTATCTGGAGTTTTTGACGTCTGTATATCTGTGTTGGATGTCTCTGAAGTGATAAGATCATCTTCAGAGCGTGTTTGCCCCGAATCATCTCGAAGTTTCTGAGCTTCTAATAATGCGACAACATCGTGTAGTAAAACATCAACTCCTACAACATTCTTTGAGCTCTTACTTTTCTTCGATTTAGGTCCTGAATTTTGTGATCGTTTGTTCCCATTCCAACGCCTCTTCTGATGATCTCGTGCACCATGATTTTCATGGTGATCGCTTTGCATTGTGCGTAAATGGTACGATCTTTGGCAGAAATGAGCCGAAAATTCTGTAGGCACTTTACGCCAGAGGGATTCAATCGAGACCCTTAACATAGGATTTATGCACCGATTCAATATCCCAAAAAAGAGCATGCCGGGGTGATTAAAAAATACGACAGGCGTACGGATTTACATTTTACCGTGGTTACGTGAGAGGCTTAGCCCTTGCTCGAAGGATGATCAAGGTTCCCTGGTGCAAGTTGCGATTCATTTTCTTTCTGTACAATGGTATATTATCTGCTCTGTTTCCAAATGAATTTGGCTTAGGTGGGCAAAGACTGAACACCTGTACGCGGTCTCCTCTACGAACCTTGGAGTGAAAAAATCTCCCAGAGCCAAGTTCAGTCACATGTCGCCACACAGATCAAGATGGCCAACGTGACAATGATTCAAAATACTCCACCACATCGATTTTCCACTCCCAAAGAGATCGAATCCTGCCTAAGCCTCACCAAGTCTACAAGTATGATCTAGTACATCTTCATCCCAATGACTTCACCTCTTGTCAACTTTCTCTGGCTTCAGCTGGTCACCAATGCACGCCCACGCCGATATTTACATCCGAAGGAAGAAGCAAAGCGTGGCGCACAAATCTAGAAGGCGGTTCTTTGAAATGGGCGTGAGAGGAATGAGAATAATTTTACAAGATGATATAGAAGATGCAGAGGATGGGTACAGTCTCGACGGGCGTGAAATTTCGATTTTTGGCAAGGAGTTTTACATATTAAGCTTTCTGCGAGCTAGGACTTTGCTTGCGAGAGTGCAGCTCATACTCAAAAAACAAGTCGACGATGCAAGGTGCCGTGGTCCACCTCCTGGTGGTGTTCTCCAGTATAGTTTGAGTAGCTTGGGCACCTACTCCACTTGGGAAGGAGGCACCAAAAACCATATTTCGCGCGGAGAAAAGTTATTGGGTGATGATGGCATGTCTAGATAACTCAGGGTTTTTGAGACGTTCCCCTGAGTGAGTATTCATGGATGAGGGTTGACTTGGGGTGAAGAAAAAGCCACCATAAATTCGCAGTGGTACTTGCAAGTGGAATCTGAGGCATGAGTCCTCCTCTTGTAAAATGAATCATCTTTTCTGTACTTTTCTTTGATATTGTGTCATAGCTAGATAGCTGCATACGCAATTAAAATCTGATGCAAAAAAAGGGCCCACACAGGCAGCTATCAACCTATCTGCATATTTGCATGAGGGGAAGCCATTACGATAAAAACCTTCTACCCCAATTAATATTTTTATATTTTTCTGTAGTCATTTGTTAGCTACAGTAAGTGCAATGAGCCATTGGTTCGAAACATGACTGGCTAAAGTTGTAGGTGACCTTGCCATCCCTCCCCTGCCCTGGCGTGCTGAAAAGAGATGACTGTAGTCTGAAGCTCGACCCTGATGGCGCTATTAGTAGAGGTGGTGGGCCTGTGCCAACAAGATGTTTTCGCGGGCGCCTCAACCCTCTCTTGCCGACCTCTGCCCTCTGGTTGGACATCAGTGTAAAAACTTGGTCGTCTGTTAGTTTCGCCCCTGTTATTGCTGTCGTTGCCGCTGGTAAGTTATGCTCTCTTCTTAGGTCTGCCGTACTCTCCTAAAGTCCATACCGTGCCCTCTGGACACTTGCCTTGTATAACGCGAAGTTTGGACACGTCCCCTTCTGCCACAATTTATGGGCTTTTCCCGCAATTGTAGCAAAACAGCGACTTCCTCGGGCAGTCTCTGGTCTGGTGAGTGCCCGCACACTTACTGTTGGAAATATCGCGCAATGTAATGGGCGCAATATTCATGGAACGAAAGTAGAAGTTGACTAAAAGAGTGTCATGTTCGGATTACAGCTAAAAGTGTGGGAAGTGTGCGCTACAAGTACAAGTGTAAGCGACACAGAGCCTAAGCCACAGTATAAACGAGTGTGGCGCCATCTAGGTATAGAAAACCCCCAACAACCTCCTGGCGCCCACGCCATACAGCCGCTCATGTCTCCAATAGGTAGCCTGAAGCGCTACCATATTACCTACTCCAACCTCTTAAATATACACGAGATCGTGTCGGGAACCTAGACGAAATGGAGGGCCCATACGTCCACAACACTCCGTGTCTCCATTTCCAACACTTACCACATCTTTTCTGCTTATTGCATGAGGCTTGAGTATGCCCCCATTGGCTGCAGTTGAAACACTGCTTGACTTGTGCCCGGGTGACCAGAGCTGGGCCGTGTACAGCATTGGGTTGAGCACAATTCCGTTTCGAATCACCTCGCGTTGAAGAGCCTGTCGACAGACTCGCGATCACCGACCCTCGAGTATGGCCATTCTTGTTCCTCCATTGGTGCTCCTTCCCGTGGTAAAGCCACATCAGTCTGTTAATCTAGATTCCGGGAATCCGAACTTTTGTCTCCGAATTGATTTAGAAAATCACGCTGCCATTTTTGGTGTCTTTTCCCCCCTTGTGTTATTGTCCCCAAAGGGACTCCCAAAATTTCATCAGGATAATCCTGATTTACGACGCAGAACTCCTTTGGCTGTGCCACATTCAAGGCAGCGTCTCACTGGGAGATCGACTGCACGAAAACCTCAGTGTCGTTACTCATTAACTGCCTTACGAAGTGTGCCCCCTCGATATGTATTTTTGCTTTGTTAAGCAGCTCTGCCGGCTGCATTTTATCCGATCCTTGAACTCTTATTCATACTGCCGCTTTAGTCGCTGGAGGTGCGACGACTGACCCGTAAGTAGGTCGACCTCCCATTACTTGTATTGACTGAGCAGTCTTGCGCACTGGCTCCTCGAGGTTCTTATTTATTGCATTTTCTAAGGCCAGCATCCTTTCTTCCATTGGTGTCGCTCTCATTGTTGATTTTAGTGAAAATGCATGCGACTTGAGAGCGTCAATGGCCCCTTCTAACTCCGCCATTGGTGCCGCAATTGGGTCAATACCTACCATCACATTCTGTCGCGAACCTTGTATAGGAAAAACCCTGTAAACTTCAAGGTTATCTATGTTAACGTCTGTAGAGGTCGCGAGAGATTCTACAGCTGTAATTGTGGCTGTTCCACTACTCATTGCTAGTTGTGGTGGTGTCGTGAAAAAAATTGCATCCGCGAAATTCACCCTAATGGCTTTTCAACTCACCATGCCGAAGCGCAACGAAAATAATTGAGGAGTCAGGTAATAACATTTTACGAAGATGAAAACAATTATCTAAACGATGAAATAGCGTTCATGGAACGAGTTGCCGCTTTTCGTGAAAAATACTTTTTTTTTTGGATAAAATTTTGCATGGGGAAGGCGGCTGAATTCCACGGGTCAATACTGAGCTGAATAGCTATTCATTACGGAAAATATATCGATGATCTACTAAGTAATATTAGAGGCAAGGAGCACTATACAAGGTGTTGCCTGGGCCAGAAAGGAGCCCAATATGCTCGATAGTCTATGACATAAGTAGTACAATTAAAACATTACATCACATCATCACCAGCTACTAGATATACCATACTATACGACTAAGCATAACATTTGCGTATATGATAATATTTGGCTGAATTTGAATTGAGTCTATTGGGAATTAAATAGATAGAATTTTTGGGATCGAAAAGTTGATTTTACCAAGATTTCATTTCCGTGATTAATTCGTGCCAGAATAATCCGTAAATAATCTCTTAAAGTCTGAGGCTTCATACATGAAATGCAATATCACAGTTTTTGTTCATAAAAGCCCGCCCACCTTACATTTCCATCCGTATTGTCCTTTACATTCTTAAGAGACTCGAAAATGTTTTAAACTCTCTCTAAAACGTACCTGAAAGTAGTCTAAAATCTTGGCGCATTGTTTTGTCGATAGTCCAAACTTTAAATGTCCTGCAAGAAACCGGCAATAGTGATGTATGTGCACTAGGGCCAGTTTCACGGTCTTCATAATCCCATGTTCCACAGATTTCATAAAGTGCTTCGGCATCACTTTTCTCCATTAGGCTGGTATTTATTTGGGTTTTCAAAGAGTGTACACACGATGATCATCTGAGAACCTAAACCTTATGGCTGCAGCATTGATCCTGCCAAGTTTCAAGCTTACATGGGTATTTATCGTCATAGACTCTTTACTCCACTCGCATATCTAATGAATCTCACGCATTATCGTCGTTAGTCAGCAGCTTTGTGATTTTCCCAATGGCGATAGTTTGACCCTAAAAAATTAGCATACAAAGCCACAAGTCTGTGAAGCTTAGCATACCTGGTCTCTGAGAGTGAAGCGTCCCAATTGTTGATAGTCTTCAAATCTTTCAACGCAGACTGTCCCGGCACCTCCTATCACCTCCAGGCGTGCAATTATGCTATCACCTTTTTTCGCGTGGGTTGGTGCCTTTTTGCTCTTTCTTCCTGTGCCTTTTTGAAGGGTATGAAGTAGAGCGGCAAAAGTAACTTCCTCAATTGCAGAGTGAACATGTAAAACGCAATTAAATCCAGCTGAAAGGATATTCTTTAGATCTAGGACGCGGATCTGTGCCTCAAATGCCGATACACAGTGAACCAATCGTTTTGGTGAGCATAATACAAATCCTGGCAAAATATCTTCTTCCTCAATGCCCCGGAGTCGTAGTCGTATCTGGTCCCCACAGTGTGATGACGTAGCTTCTTCCTCCGTCTCCCCGTAAATTGCGGCAGCTTCAACTTTTTCCCGATTTGGCATCATTACTAAAGACATGCTTTTTGTAATCACTCCAGCTTCAATCTTACCCTCTACAATGGTTCCCATATCTCTATATTTTCCATTTATAGGCATCATGAAGGGTGCATTAATCTTGCGCTCGAGCGCTGGCATATTATCCAGATATTCAAGGAGTGATGGACCGTTATACCACGGGCAAATATTTCCTGGAACACGATCTTTTAGTCCAAGCATTTGTTGTGCTGCGATTGGCATAAAGCAGACATCGGTTTTTGGGTTATATCCAGTTGCCTTTAGGAATTGTGATAATTTGGTAATGCATTCATTGTATCTTTGCTCCGACCAATTAACAGTGGTATCGTCCATCTTGTTGATTGCTACAATAAGCTTATTAACCCCTTGTGTCTTGGCCAGCATTGCATGTTCACGTGTTTGGCCTCCTTTTTCGAAACCTGTCTCGTACTCACCCTTGCGTGCGCTGATGACCAAAATTCCAACGTCTGCTTGAGAGGCTCCACAGATCATATTTGGCACATAAGTCTTGTGACCTGGTGCATCCAGGATACTATATCTTCGCTTTTCTGTTTCAAAGTAAGCGCGACCAACCTCAATTGTCTTCCCTTGAGTTCTTTCCTCTTTATTCAGATCCAACACCCAGCTAATCCACCATGATTCGCGAGCCATATCTTTTGCTTCTTTCTTGTATTTATCAATAGTTCGCTGATCAATCATTCCACTTTGAATCAATATAGCTCCTCCTAGCGTCGACTTTCCTGCATCAACATGGCCAATGAATATAATATTAACATGTTCTTTACCGTAAATTTCTTTAAGCGTTTCACTGTCCACATCTGCTGAAGCAATTTCTTTCTGTACTGCATCAACTTCCTGACGTGAAACTTTGTTGGCTGGTCGAGAAGGACTTGATCGACCAGATGGTGGAGTAGATGAATTTTTCCCGTTCTCAGGGGTTTTGTCTATCGCTTTAGATGCCGTGACCTTGGATCCGGACTCCGGAGCCGCGTTAGTATCCATGGCAGCTGTATTTTCTTTTTTAGAAGCAGGTGTAGTGTTGAGTCCTATAGAGAGAATCTTGGCTTTTTGCTTGGGTACATCGCCTCCAATACTGATTACTTTAGGCGGTGCTCCTTTGTTTGTGGTAGGCTTAGACGGATTTGGTTGGCCTGCTGATTCTTCAACTGAACGCTTAGCAATTATCGGAACCTGCTGAGGTGCATTATGAGATGACGCTGATTGTTGTTGGTGAGGATAATTTGAGTATTGCTGCCCTAAGATCATTTAATTTTCTCCACTTGGGTACTGAAAAAAGTTTGTAAATCTAAAATAATGTGACTTACCGTAGGTTGAGTTGTAAACCCCCTGATTGTATCCAGGCATATATCCCCCAGGCTGTTGGTATTGCTGATAGCCTGCTTGTGGCCCGTACTGTGAGTATCCCCCAAACTGTTGGCTGCTCGCTTCTCCGTATAAATTTTGGTAAGGTGCAGTGGAATATTGTTGATATGCCTGACCAGGCTGGAAAGAATTCGCACCGGGACGGAATGTACCAGTTGAGCTTCTTTGCTGATTATTTAAGTCTAGTTGCTGTGTCTGGCGTGAGAGATAATCCTCTTGAGCAGCTGGATCGTCTTCCCAAGAATTTAAATCGGACATGCTTTAACTGGCACTGAAAGATTTGATGTTTGTTGAAATGTCGGTTTGCAGAAGGTAGACTACTTGAGGGGTTGCTGCTTGTGCGTCACACTACAGCCCGATTTAGTTGGGTAATTACATGTAAAGCCAAGCACGAACAATTAATGTTTTGCCGCGCTATCCGTTGTCAGCTAAGCCTCGTCAAGGCGCTACCCGATATTTTAATTTTATAATTTGCGTCCGACGCCTTGTATATAGGACTGTGCTCACAAGTGAAGCATTAAAAGTTCCTTTCTAGTGTCCTTCGTAAATACCCTCTTATGAGATTGCGCTTCAGTACTAGTCGCCGAGTGCTGCTAGGATCCCAAGAAACTACTACAGCCGGAATATCAACACCGCAGATTGGGCCCATAGATCTAAGTTTGATTTTTAATTGTGCTAGTTAGGTTAATGTCTATTTAACCCATGGGGCTATTCTCTGACCTAGATCACACCTTGTACAGTGTTTCTCTCTACTTATAAGTTTAAAGATCTATGATGTAATTCAAATGATGGATAGCCATTTTGGCTCAGTATTTACTCGTAGAACCTAAATTTATTCTATGTTGAAACTTATGCTCAAAGAAAGGAAACTGTAGGAAGAAAAACTACGTATGCGGGAATAATCCTTAGAAAATTGTAGAAGCAGACAGAGGAGATAGATGTAACCATCTGTATCTCTCTTGCTCGTAACGCGAGAAGCCAACGTTTTTAAATCCGCTGCCGCCGAGTCAAGTGCTGGGTATTTTCCAGAAACTCATCGGATGGCTTTTCCTCCAATACTAATGGTGAGTGATGAATAGTGCTTCGACCTTACCATCATCTCTGATCGTGCTTAGATTAATGATGATGGTGCTTGTAGGTTTTGTTAGGAGATGAAGAAGATATAGACCGCAAAAGCGCTTAAGAACTATCACTGGAGTGAGGGGAAAGTTGTTGAACGATTCGGCTGTGAAGCCTCTGTAGTCAGAGCTAAAGATTCCTAAACAACGTCTCAGTAAATTTTGCGTCTGCTTCTCTATGTAATGTCTGATTCAATCTATACTTTATCAGAATATGTGAGTACCTCCTGCCTTGATGTTGGGAGTATCTGTAAAGCAAGCAGGTAAGGCCTGACAAACTATCGACAGTTTAAAATACATCAAAAACTAAGTCACAATTCCACAAGTAGCGGCCTTTTAATGGCCTTCAAGCGCCGACAAAGACGAATTGTTCACCATCCAGTGGTGCCGGTGTAATCGCTCAGTATGCTCTGCATGTCTGGGATATCAAAGGAAAATTGCGTCCGAATCGAAGTCAATGGCCACCTCAAGCACATCTCCATTTGACGACTTCTCAATAGGGCCACTCTAATCATTCCTATCTGAGTCCTTAACCCCCTTCTAAACACGCATCATCTCGCCTCAGCGACCAATAAAGATGTTGCTCCAATTGCAAACAGGAGCTTGCCTCATTTATCACCGGCCATCACTCACTATAAATTTACGACGCTACGTACACCCGCAAAGAGGAAATTAAGTCATAATATACAAAGTTGGGGTCTTGGTTTATGGGGGACTGTTGCCCTAAAGGGACAAGTAGCTTGTGGAAGAAAAGGTGGCTAAGATGTGGAGCGAGGGGGGGGAACAGGTCTCTGAAAACCACGCTGGGACAGACATTTAGGAGGGGTTTTCAACTTTGGAACTTTTGTGGCCGCCAAGACTAAGATTTCGGCTAATTAGCTTGGAGGGTTTCTATTGTCGATGAGTCAACGGCACTCCCCAGCGCCCTAGACGACACAAAAGAAGTTGGGCTAAGCTACCACACAGTAATCACGCTCTGTCAAGACTTTTCTGACATTTGAGGACGACCTTCGGGAAGGAGTTAGAAGGAGGCTAGAAAGGCAGAGGATGAATTTCCCGAGGTACACACAAGTCTGCAGCGCCCAGCTGGCCGGCCTCTTCGAACGCTTCAGAAGGGTCACTATGTCTTCGGATTTAGTCCTAATGTCGGTATTAGAAGAGCTCCGCACCCAGTGGTTTATGCGATTTTTTCCGGCTATCATACACCCGCAAATGGCCATCGTTTCGTTGGCTAGAGAGGGACGATAATGAAGGGTTAAGTGATCCTCTAAGTGTATGATCAAATGAGGACTTGTGAGGGGTGGTACTGTTTTAGGGGAGCTGTATGAGAGGCATAGGAGGGGATATACTACTGGTATAGGAATCCTTAGCCTGTAGGTAGAGAGGACCTGCATGTCCTACATAGTCATAGACTCAGACAGGACAGTAAATTAAATTAATAACAACAATATGCGTCTAAGCTCAAATATCGGCCAAACCATAACTGACAATACTTGGAGTACAACTAGAGAGTTGGCTCTTCGAATAGAGTTAGGCATTCAATTGGCAGCAAGACTTCTAGATCAGAGGCGACTTCGGCCAGCAGTGTTTATTCAACGACTCGTATTAAAAAATCAAATTTTAAATTTACTATTCAGTTTTTAAGTTGTTCGGATAGCTGTGGAAGTCCTTCATAGACAAAGTCTCAGTAGAGAACTAAATTAAATTCTATCCAAGGACAGGACGAATGGCACCCGCTGGCAGTGAGATGCCGGGATGTAGCAAAGTATGTTATGTTAGGCGCCTAAAACTTAGAGCAGGCTAGAAATCCCGATCGATTGCCTCTTCAAAACGCTATTTGATGCGAAAACGGAAAATACTCTAAATGTACCGATCGTAGAAGGTCTCGAGAAAACTTCCACCCCGACAACCAATCTCGCCGGGCTCCGACCTGGTCTCCACAGAAAAGATGAATCGTACAATTCATAGATATCTATTGTCAAATTTTCGCCGGAGACTGTATGAGCCCATTAAGATGGCTCATCAAGCGGCCCAGCTATATCTACATGCGGATTCGCAGTATACACAGGAAGCAAGCTGATTGGAGGCGGCTCTAGCACGATGTTGAGAGCAGAAGTGTACGACATAGAACTTTTACGCGCTCAGAGAGCCTTGAATATAACCGCAATATTGGCAGGTGAGTTTCCCACTGAGATACTCCTCGATAACTATGAAGCTGTCCACTCCCTCAGAACAGGTCGAAGCAATTCATATAAATCCAAAGTCGACCAAATCACAACTCTAATACGTTAGAACTCAGGGCATTCTAGCTTGTTTACAAAATTCAAACTTATAAATGGGCTAAACTAGCTTTGTGAGATTTTCCAGTTTTCTGAAATGCAACGTTTATTTAAAAATATAATCAAAGACAAAGGTAAAATTTTACAACGCTAATCCGATACGTCGGGGGTGAAGAGACTGTCGAATCTTGGTGGCAAGAAAATAAACCTAGTCGGTACAAAGAGCTGGACTTATCGATGAAACGAAAACGACCATAAGAGATAGCTCACCCAAGATAGGCGTATCATCGTCTGATAGCGGCTAGGACTGGTAATGGAAACTTCTCCAATTATAATGAATGATTTCGATACAGAAGAATAGATTGTAGGTGCAAATGTAGCTAGGAAAGACGCCTGTGTCATTTCTCGGTATGCCGGATAGCGCTAAAACAGTAGCGCAAACAACATAGGAAACAGCGCCGAGTATATGGACACTGTTGGGAGAAAACGGATGGGAAGCATTTTATCTATTCCTTATTGTGGAGGGATTGTGCGAGGAAAAAGTTCGACGGGAGAGATCAAGATTTTCCTGGATAATTATTGACGGACAAACTGTTGTGAAAAAGATGGTTATGTGCAAAGCGTAGAGTCAGGGCGGTTAAAATTTTCCTTGAGATTTTTGTCTATTTAATCTCGTAGATTTCTGCCATGTCAAACCAGCGATTATAGTAGTTGTGGGCCCTAAGAGAACACGGATCCTTGTCGAGCCTACTCGATTTAGGGCTTTAGCCGGATACTTTAAATTAGTCAAAAATCAATTGTCAGCTAACTGGCAAAGCAAGTTTTTGAGACAATATGTCTAACTGTGTGGGTCAGGTGATTTGATATTCAAGCGAGTCTAACAGCAGGTTTAATTTATAATTAAATAATTTTGCGCAGTATGACCAGGCACGGCACCCACAACAATAACTAACCATCGCAAAACAGCATACTCTCCAAAATGACAAAAATAAACTCCTGTAAGTTGATAGCTGATCACAAATCGAAATATAAAGTAACTATTGCTCACATACAAAAAGCTCTTCATTCATCGCGGAGAAAATCGCGTCATGCTTATTTCAATGCTCCGTCCAGTGTGCGAAGAACCATGATGAGTGCTCCGCTTAGCAAAGAGCTCCGTGAGAAGTACAACGTCTGTATACACCGACTAGAAATAAGAACACACTAATAAAGCATAGGTTCGATCAATTCCCATCCGAAAAGATGACGAAGTCTTAATCGTAAAAGGGTCTAATAAGGGACGTGAAGGCAAGATAACCTCTGTATACCGTCTAAAATACGTTGTACACATCGAACGTGTCGTAAAGGAAAAATCTTCTAGTCAATCTGTGCCCCTTGGAATTCATCCTTCTAAGGTTGTCATAACAAAGTTGAAAATCGACAAAGACCGAGAACAAATTCTTGAACGCATCAAGGTTGGCCGAGAAAATAAAAAGAAGCAAAAAGAAGCAGCTCTTAAGGCGTAAGATGACCCACTCGAATCTATTTGATGTAGCGCACAGGCTCTGACATCACAACGTAAATATCGTACTGTCACATCAAATTATGGCCATTTTCATCATTTAAATGCAAAATGTTCCATGGGAGTTCCTCCCGAAGTATAGCGCTTATTCTCAGTGATATCCGCCCTTGTCATCCCTAGCTACCAGTAAGAATGAATAAACTCAACGCTGGCCAGATGTAAGTCCTAAATCACATTGTTATGACCCCGAAATTCCTTCACATCTTACGATGCCCTTGACAACTACATTATGAAGAAGATTTTCTCCATAAGCACAAAATCCTGGTTCATGTTTCATTTGAATAAGCTTCAGTAATTTAGGTAACAGAAGAGCCTTGGAATAGAATTGTAAGGTACAATCATTCAAGCTTGTGACACATAAACTTATTTCTGGAATTTTATATTCCGTAGGTACACTGGATGCAAAAGACTTTGCTATCTAACGCAATTATACATTTACAAAAACTCACTGAATCCCGCCATTAAGAAAAGCAGAAGTATGTATCCGTGAAAATGATAATCAATGAAACTCGAGCTTTTAAACCCTGCATGCCGTAAAAGTAACATGAATTTAGAGAGTACAGCTGACACTATAAACACAAGCAAACAATGGAAGGTGTTGTGATCCGCCACCTGGTGTTGTTCTCCAGTATAGTCTAAGTAGCTCGGGCACTTATTCCACTTCAGAAGGAGGCATCTCAGATCACATTTCGCGCAGAGAAAAGTTAATGGATGATGCAGGCATATATGGATAACCCAGGGTTTTTGAGATGTGCCCCTGGGTGGGTATTTACGGATGAGGGCTGTCTTGGGGTGAAAAAAAAGCCAGCACAACTTCGCAGTGGTACTTGCAAATGAAATCCGAGGCATGACTGCTCTAATTTTAAACTGAGTCATCTACCACAAACTTCTCTGATATTGTGGCGTAGCTAGATAGCTGTAGACGCAACTAAAATCTGATGCAAAAAAACATGAATTTAGTCATCTCCATGATGGCATAAGAAGATACTCTTGCATTCTGCATTGTATGTGTGTGTTTATTGTGCTACTTGAGTTTATGAGTATCTAACACATAGGGCTCCTCTCTTACCCGGGCCACACCTTGTATAGTGATCTTATCCTCTTTTGTTACTCGTAAGATCATTGGGAGAGGTTTGTTTATTGTACTACTTGAGTCCTAAACTATGTAGCATGAGATCATTGATACAGTGCCCGTCATTAACAGCCATTAAGCTCAGCGCTTACCCGTGGAAGACGGTTACCTTTATTACGGAATCTCTTAACGCCAAAAAGAATAAAAACAAAGATGAGAGGAGAACCTGCATGCGCGGGAAAAAGTCTCAAAAATCGTTGTAGCCCTGTGTGTCCAGCTGACCTGGCACCTAGAAGTGGATCACAGCACAAACAGGTCTTGGGTGTATTAATTACGTAATTTCAGTCTAGATTAGCGTATTGTAGTCTATGTAGGAGTTTGGGATGGTTGAGTTTGAATTTGATTGCTATTCGTATCAGGCATGTGCCCTACACCCAATAGGCGTGATACGGGTATGTGATCTATACAGACTCACTACTACCTACGTGCATGGCTTTACTTGCCGAAGAAACCATGAGAAATAAACATAAGAAAGCAATACAATGTGTCCAAACAAGAGCGCCCTACGCCGTGTCCTATTCTTCCCAGCAATTGGCTACTAAAATAACCACTGATACCCCTGGGGGAGCTTATGACTCTCCATCTACGGCCTTCTCCCTGTAACATCTCGTTACAGTTGCAAATTCGATAAAATTTTCCCAACCTTTACCTCCAAGCATCTCAATTGCCCTCGGGGGAGGTTCCCGTTTCATGCCTCTCCACCGTTGTAGGGCCGGTCGACATTCTGCAAAGTGCCAAGGGCGTCTTTCTCGACCGCACTCGCATTTGGCTTCGAAATTTTCATGCTTGAATCTTTCATGGTATTTGGCAAAACCGCCGTGCCCAGTCCTAGCTGCGATCAGCCTTTGGTAGGCCCATCTCGGTAGAGCAAGTTCTGGAGGTCGCTTCCTAGTCATCATAAGAACTAAGTCCGTATAGTAATTTGGCGCATTTTTTTGCCACCATGCTACTACTAGTCCCTCCGTGTGCTCCTTGACAAATCTGTGGAGTGATGCAAACATAAATTTTATTCTACGGGGCACCTCCATGGGGAGTGCCTCATTGGTCACCTCATTTGGTACTTTAATTAGGGCGGCTTTGGCAAGCTTGTCTGCCATCTCATTTCCCTCGATCCCTGAGTGCCCTGGTATCCACCGAATTCCCACTGACCGATGTTGCTGACAGTCCTTGACAAATTTGTCGACTATTCCCTGGAAAGATCTAGACCTACCACTGCGTAAGGCCTGGACAGCTTGTAAACTATCTAAGAGTACCTTGATTGAGTTGCTGCCAGCCACCAGTAGAGCTGCCTCGAGGGCTTTCTGGGCTCTCAAGAGTTCCGCGTCATAAGTCTCTGCACCAAGCAAAGGGCCTGCGCCGCTCCCAATCATTTTTCGTCCTCTGAATAGATTATAGCCCCATGCAGATTTTGCTAGCCCGCAGGATGAGCCATCTGGGTACGCACATATAGTGTCGGCTAGCAAGTGCTCTATCTATTGTTTGGCTAGAGTGGCTTCAGACTCTCTGTCCAGTGTCACTGGTTGGTAGCTGCGATCCGATGCTGGGTAGAAAAGTCTTCCGGACTCCACAGCGAGCAGTACGTTCTGAATGCTGGTCTGCAAACGTGTCAGGTAGCGCTCTGGATTTTTGAACGATCGGTTCTTCTGTCCTGCGCAGAGTCCTAGGCGGTTTATGGTTTCCTTTGGACCTTCTTGGGATCTAGCTACCAGAGGATGCCACAAGTCCATTCGTTGAATTCGCGCCGCAGCTCTCAATTGCCTTTGCTGAAGGATGATTGCTGCAGGGGGGATACCAGACTCTCTGTGGAGAACCTTGTTCGGGGTAGTTCGCCATGCCGGTAGTGCTGCCCGGATTGCCTTGATAATCGTACTGTCCAAGAGATCAGTATGCCAGCCGATTCCCGTGCTCACTTTCTTGCTCCGATTAGTGGTGACCCGGGTCAAGCCCGACCACCATGCTTCGGCTCCATACATCGCTGTGTTTATGATACATGCCTCTACTGCCTTGATCATTGGTTGCGGGCCTGCGCCCCGTTTAACGCTGTTGATTCGCCGTATAAACTGCGTTAGCCTTTGAGATTTCTCGCACCACTCTTTCACGTGCTGCTTGACGTTGAGTTGGGAGTCTATCCATACCCAAAGCCATTTGATATACGGGGAAGGTATTATCTTGTTACCTTAGATCTGGATAGCTAAGCCTGTCGTGTCCAGATTTTTCTTAGGACCCCCCCCCAATTATCACTAGGTCAGACTTCGACGGATCAAAAAGTATTTCATGCTCGTTTGCAACCCGCAAAAGCTTCTCCACTTCTGCTTGACTATTTTCCACCGCTTCAGCTGCTGTGCTTCCAATGGTGAGAATGGCGATGTCGTCTGCGTACCCAAACTTGTTGACCTCGCTCCAATTTTTGAATAGAATGGAAATGTACAGGAGAAATAGTAATGGTGATAGTGGTGAGCCTTGCGGGACCCCACACTCCACGACTTTGTCTCGGGTCATTCCATTCTGGTGTCGAACTCGTATCCTTCTTCGGGTCAAAAATGACTCGACCCATCGGCATAATAGCCTGGGCCACCCTTGGTTTCTCATCCGGTGTTACAGCCGTTTGTGGAGAGCTACATCAAATGCGCCCTGCACGTCTAGGGTAATCATTGCTGTGACCTTGTTGTTCCGCATTGCCGCCTCTGCATCATGTATGACACATGAAACAAGGTCAACTGCTGAGCGTCCTGGGAGTGCGCCGAAAAGCTGTTGAGTTACAACACGATGTTCGATTGTTAGCCACGCCGTTCTTTTGGCTACTATTCGTTATAGCTCTTTGCCCAAGCAAGAGAGAAGGGAGATCGGTTGCCATCCTTTAGCTGTTGCTAGGTCTCGTCCTGGTTTTGGAAGCATGATGGTTTCTGCTACTCGGAATATGTTAGGAAAATGCCCATGCTCTAAACACGCTTGGAAATGTTCTTTACCTGCCGCCCAATTGATGGCCAGCATGCACTCAGCAGTCGAACTATTATGTTGTCTAAACCTGGGGACCTGTTTCCTGAGCCAATAGTACTTGTCGTTACATCCTCTAGTGATATTGTCGCATTCCACGGGATCGACTCTGTTTGTTCGGATTCCCACGTGGGGAGATCGTGGGCCGCGTCAAATTTGGTGAGAAGAGAGTCCCTTAGAGTTTCTGCTCGTTTATGTGGGTCTGATGTCCACGTGTCCTCCGCGATTTGAAGGGGGGGGGATCTCGGCCTATCTTGGGTTTTGTCCACAGCATCAATTTGAAGACTTGTGAGTCTGTCGTAGCATTCTCAACCTGCTTCCTCCAGTGACCTCTTTTTGCCGCTCTAACTGCATGCTTAAACTTTTTTCGCACTTCTGCCTCGCTGTCTGGGCAGCTTCTAGCTTCATGGTACTCGCGGTGCTTAATTTTGCAGTCCTCATTCCACCACGAGGCTGTGATTCCTAGCGCTCTTGCAGGTTTGTAACCTACTTCCTTGCGTGCGTCACCCAAAGCCTCCATCAAGCTTGATAGCTGGCATTTAATGTCGCTTACGCTGTTCAAAGGGCCTGGTCTGACCCACGATTTGACATACTGGGCAAACTTGGCAAGGTCTTGATCGCGTAGCCGCAGTTCCTGGCTTATTCTAGACATATCAGGCTTTCGTCTCGCTTCAACGGACCCAACGATAGTCATATGGTCTGAGGTGCAGTTACACTCGTGTGATACCAATGCCTCTGCTGTGGCGTTGCTCCATACAAGATCCAACACATTTCCATCCCTGTGTGTAGGTACGCCGATAGTAGTAAGTAAATGCATA